GTCATGATTATTATTCAATACATTTGATATCATCATTGACATAACAAACAATTGCATCACCCAAGTAGTAATAATACCAAGGCCATGCAAAAATGAAACTTTTAATAATGTCTGTCTCTGGGATTCACAAAATAAATTATTCTTCCTGATTATCAATTGTAGTTCCCATTTTCCCATTGTGTAGTTTCCTTATGAATAAGCATCAGTAATATTTTTTGATTTAATATTAATGAATTGTACAAAATATAGGTCACATGACCATTGATATTAATATTAATATCAAGAAATCTGTTATTATTAAAAATTCAAATAAATATCATAACAAGAAGAATTTTATTATCATTAAACCATTCTTAGATCTCAATCCATTAGTATTCATTAAATGGAGGCACACTAATTGAGATTCGGAGGAATATTTTTGTGGAAAGATCTAGAAAAATCCATAAAAAAACATTCAAACAAAATTTTAAATAATGAAAATATAACAATTCTACCAACATTCATTGAAAATTTAAAAATATATAATCAAAATACTTTTGATGCTTTATTAGATAGGTATATGAAAAAATTTAAAAGTGAAGCATTTGAATTCTGGGTGATTCCAGGTATGTTGTCTGTCTAAAATATGTATATGTGTCTATGTTGTTCATTTGGTTTTCATTTAAATTTTTTTAATATATCAGTACAAAAAGAATTTTTCAGTTATTTGAGTTTCAAAAAAGTTACTAAATTATATGGAATTCAAGCATTGACAATACAAGATCTCAAACAATTTATACCAGGTATCTCAAAAACATTTATATCTATGACTAAATTATAGTTTTCTAGCATTAATAATTTCACTTTGTTCTTAAAACATTAGGAAGTTATTCATGGAATTCTGAAGATATCTGTGACAAAATGATTAGCCATTGTATTGTGGACTTGAAGGTCAGAAAACATTTAATTGACTCTGCTGAAAATTATCCAATAATTAATGTTTTTTTAGTTAAAACTGCAAAATTTTGGTGGAACAGGATCTGCCAATGAATTTACAACATCAGGAAATTAATTTAGCATAAACTTGCATAAATCTTACAATGCCAACGTAATATTGTGTAAATCTTACAGTGCTGATGTAAGTTTTACACTTTTTTATTATTAAACTTACAATTGACATGTGTAAAATTTTTTTATATTTTCTGGATGTTATGGATTCAAATCAGTTGTTATTATTATAGATTCAAATCAATCAGTTTGAATCAAATCAAGTAAATCAAATTAGTTCAAATCAAATTATATATTCAAATCAGTTCAAATCAAGTTGAATCAAATCAAAGTACAATTTGGATTTGATGCGAATTCAATTTGAATGAAACGAATCAAAAATTAAGTGATTCAATTTGATTCAATTTGATTCAAATTCAAATCAGTTCAAATTTCATTGATTTGTTCAGAGCCTTACCCCCTTCCTCTAAATTAGATAGATCTAAATTTATAAAAGGAGGTATGATAGTATTATGTGTAAGGTTGTGGGTGAAACCTACTTAGTAATTACTGAAACAATGGCAAAACTATATTAAATCTTATCAAAAATCCTGTTGAAACTATGCCGAAATGGCGAAACCTCAAAATGTGAAACTCTGCCAAAACTCTAATAAACAATTAATGTGTAACCTGCCGAAACCCTGCTGATTGATTTCTGGAGGAATTTCGGCAAGCAACCTTAATTATGTGATTAGTCTTCATTATCCTTACCAAAAAATAATCAAACACCAAGAACAACTTTATTCAATCCTTTGAGTAAAAATGGAAAACATGATACACATAAAGGAATGATTCTGTTATTAGAAATCCACTATTGAATTTTTGATGGGGTTTTTTAGATAAATTCATTTTCCAACTTTGATTTTGTTTATTTAAAATAATTATTTTATTTTCTCATACACACACACACGCACACACACTCTCTCAAGTTATTTTCTAATGTATGAAGACATACAACTCCAATTCATCCAAGGATTCCAGCACAATTGTAATATTACATAATTTAATTTAATCTATCAATAATCAATCAGATAGTGATAATAAATATACATATATATTTGCATATTGATAGGTTTACTTGATTTACATCCATATTCAAAAATTTTAAAAAGTGGAACTGGTAATGGGTTTTTGACATTATATCTAGCATGAGCTCTACATCCAACTAGAATTGTTCGCATCATAGACATTAATCTGGATTATATAAAAATATTCATGTGGTTTGTACTATGATATTATTGAATTTAGTACTTGGTCATGTTCAGAATCTAAAAATTGCTAATGATTATGGTGCTAAAAAGAGGCATCATCATCTACTACTTATTTCTTAAAACATTTAATATAATAATAATATGATCCTAGAAAAGCATTATCTTATATTTGTCAACTTTCTCTCATATACCAACAAATCATGCTGCATTCAATTCAAAAAAATATCTTCTTTTTCAACAAAGATTTAAAAGGTTAAAATCTACATAAAAAAAAGAAAAAGAAACTTTTATATAATTGTTAATTTCCTAATTTTCATTGTTATCATAAGATTTATTTGATTCAACAAACAAATCTGTTATGTGACCACATATATTTCTCAAATCTTCTAAACCTTTATGCATTGCATCTATTGCTGTTATATTGTCTATGAAAATAAAATAAAATACTTGTAAATACAAAATTAATATATTATGAAAGTTTTTAACATAATAAAGAAATTAATTACTGGTAGTTTGTACACGTAAATTAAGTTTATCTTCTGATGGATGTGGTATAGAATATCCACAATATTCTACTTCTGGGCTTTTTTTTTTTTGAAAAAAAAAAAAATCAAGTCAATTAATAAAAATAAAAATAAAAATTTCATCATCATCATCATCATCATAATTATTACTTTTGCATTATTACATAACGTAAAGCATTTCCCAATGTATGATCTTCTTCTGATATGTTAAATGTTAAACTTGTTGGATCATCATCTTTATTGAATTTCTTTTTTTTTAAAAAAATTAATAATATTGTAAAGTAAAAAAAACCAAAAAATGGGGTTTTACTTTAAAAATAATTAATTACAAAATCTAATATTTCACTATAAGCATCATCATCAACAGTCTCTCCATCTTCTCCTCCTTCCTCTTCCTCCTCTCCTCCTTCCTCTTCCTCCTCTCCTTCTTCCTCCTCACCCTCTTCGTCTTCTTCAGTAGTGATTATAACTTTTTTATTATTATTGATATTATCATCATCAATTTCCATTTGTTGAGAAGTACTTTTTGGTTTTATAGCTCTTTTATTGGATTTAGTGGTCATTATTATTTATTTTGAAAAAAAATTTATATATGTATATTGGAGTGACTAGTAAAGTTGAAAAAAATATATATGGGGCATACTGCAACAAAACCAGACAAAGTGAACATTGTGTCACTATGGGATTACAGGGATCAAAATTTAGTAACGTGATTATTATTATTATTATTATTGTGATTTAACAATTTTATAATCTCCCATCTGTTGTCTTTGATTTTTCTTAATATTAAGTGGTATATAGAATTGCTTCTATATAAAAATAATTAATATGAAATTAATTTATATCAGATCTATCATGGAACCCAAGGATTACAGCACCATCATCTCAATCAAAACAATTCTCAATCTAAATTTCAATTAATTTTTAAGATGAAATTTGTGAATATATCCCATGGTTTCTTTTATATTTCTGTGAAAAAATGATTTTCTGTGAATGAAGCACGCTGAAAATACTCAAAACATACTGAAAACATACAGTGTGTTTTATTTTCGGTGTTTCCGTATATTTTTAGTAAAAATTTCGTGTTTCAGTGCAAAATTTTTTATAGGTCAAGATTTTCCATATTTCTAATAATTTTATGCAAATAATTCCCCAAATAAAATTATTTATAACAAAAAATAATCTTACTATTGTTTTAACAAGTCTCTTCTAAATGTATAAATAAAGGCAGATTTTCTTTATTGAATTTTTTAAAATTGATAATAAATAAATACCTTTTAATTCTACACAATTAATATTTTTTTAGATCAATAAATTCTTTGAACCTCCAATTTATAAAATATCACAACACCATCTTTTTCTCTATTTAAAAAATGTACATATATTATGACAGAACAAAAACGCGAATCATGTTTATTGAAACGGACTTTTTTATTTTATTTTATATAAACATATAATAATAAGTAAAATTTTCCGTCGATCATTCTCTCGTTTCCAACGGATCTATGGGGACTGGCCACCTAAATCCGTTGAAATGAGGTTTGACTGTATCCGGTGAGAAATAGCAATTCTCATTACGTAGATTTGTTGCCCATGAAAACTGTGTTACACTATTGCTATTACTAATACTATTTTCCGTCGTCTGTGTAATATTAATCAATTGATTTTTTTATTGTAAGGGAAACTCCGATGACGATGAAATTAAAAAATTCCATTGGACAGACGAAAGTTAGTTATAATTCTATTAATAGATACAAAATTAAACAAGTACACATCTTAATCAATAATAATACAAGTAGTTTATATGTTTCTTCGACAATTGTTTTAATAGATAAGGGCTGAGATATTCATTTTAATTTTAATATAAAATCTTGTCGCGTATCATTGAATTTTCCTCAAATCCTAGTGTCCGCGTTTATTAATCCTCACTTTACAAAAAATTTAAAAGACAACTATCCATTAGGGTCCATTTGGCATTTATTGATGGAATTTTATTAACAAAGAAATGCATCCAATAAGAATTAATATGAGAATTAAATATCGGGCTCAATGAAAAAGAATTCATTATCCGAATAGTTTTAAATACAGATGAGGACGGAATGATTTATTCAACACCAAGTGAAGTTATAAATGAAAATTATAAATAAACTTGATAAAATGACATGTTATTCTGTACCAGTCATTTTGGGCTTTGATGATAAAATATTTGTTAATAATTATTTATTTTTCCATTTGAGATTGTTACTAATGATGTTACAATTTTTGTAACAGCACTTGACCATTCTATTTAAACTGGAATCAGTTTTTATTCAACGAAAGCAACGACTGTTATTGAGTTTACTTTACTTCACATCTTGCTTCTATATACCTATAGATCACATAAAATATTGGAACATGGAGAAAAGTGATGAGATGTATTGAGTGCACTAATATAACACATTATTAAAAAAAAATGAATCGAATGTGCGTATTTTTATTTTTATTTTTATTTTATTACTTTACATATCTCAACATTTGAATTAAAAAAAGGATGGCTTTGAAAGGCAACTAAAAAAATATTGGAAAAAAACGAACGTATAATTTCAGAAAACATTTGACATAGGAATATTTTTTTTCAATAGGGAAAATTAGTATGACAATCTCACTTGTCGATCTTACGAATTCGAGAAATGAGCTCCACAAAACAATATTCACGATTTAGACGATAATTTCAAAGCACTAGTTAAAAGTTTTTATCTGATAAGAAAAATGGGAATATGAAGATTTTGGCCGTATTGATAATAATTGTAAAGAATTGCCTTTTTGTTTTTTTTTGTTAGAGACATACGTAAACATCTGCAAGTAATTCTCGAAAAAAAAAAATATATTGGTTTTGTTGTTATGTATCTTTAATGTTAGCCTTTGTTTTTTTTTAATGGATTTTCAATGCGGGAAGAGACTACAGAAGAGTCATGTTGTAACGAGGGAATCTGGTCTAGGATTGCAAAATGGGAACTTAAAATTCATTTAGCGTTCATTGATGCTTCTGATTATTTATATTTATTAAAAAATAATATAAATAATAACACTGATGATATAAATTAAAAAAAATTATTATTATTATGTAATTAGAATAAATTTAAAAAATGTTTAATTCCTGACATAGAATAAATTATATGCAGCACGAGACTAGATGGGAAAATAAAACAATTGTTTTTTTAGTATATATATTTTATGATGTATGATATTGAAAAAATGTATAATAATATAATTTACCTTAACAGATCCTTCATTACAATTTGACACACGACTATCGTCAAAGTTATACCATTCATTTTTAAATCCATTTCGTACACATGCTGTATAATGCCCACCATTCAATCCACCATAATGATTTGATACTGCATATAAATCGTATATAAAAGGTCCAACCTGTTGCAAAGAATTTATTGATTCATCGTCTGTGTTGGAAGACTCTGATGTGTTTTTACCAGGAATGTTGACAGGTTGTGGTATTGGAGGTGGTACATAACTTGTTAAATCTAGTTTTTTTAATGGAAAATTAACCAAGGTTTCCACTTTATCTCTGAATGGTCCTTTAAATGAAAATCTCTTGAGATGTATTAAAAGAACATCAGGTAATCTTGAAATTGAAAGACGCTTTGTTGCACGTTGAAAACATTTACATCTGGGACAATTCCATGCATTTTCTTTCTCTAAAATTTCTTCTTTAACGAAAGCATTCAAACATTGTAATAAATCAATACTATTTTTTTTTTTGGTTTTAGGAATTGGCAGTGATAAATACATAAATGTATTGTAGGTTGTAGAAGTCTTTTTACAAGATAAGCATTTCAGTTGATTTCTAAATTGTCCTTGGAATAAACTAACCACAATGGATGAATTACGCATCATATATCTATCCCATTCTAGTACTGATGCAATTTGAATTGGAAGATCTTCCATGCTTTCTTCTTCCTTCCTTGTTAATGCTCTGATATTGGGCTTAGCTTTCACAATGTTCAAATCTTCATGCAGCCCGTCTAATAAATATGCAAGGAATTCTTGAGAATCTTGTTGATCAGTTCCTGAAAAATGAGGTGCAAATTTTCCAATAGCCTGTTTAAATGTTACAGGAGAAACAATTGGATATTGACCATTCCATAACACCCTAATTAAAGTTGCAAATGCATCAGCCAAAGCACCTTTTGTGCCTAAAGGATTAACTTTGTTAATATGATATTTGTAGCTTCCATCTAAAAAATAACGAGCAAATGGAATAGTGCCGCTTAAACATTGAATGATCGAATTCATGAAACAAGTATTGCCAAGGTTTTTTAATCCAGAAATTCCAACATCTGAACCCAACTGTGAAAATGAACTTTCTGAATTAGGAAATCGTTGGTGATAATGACCAGTACTTGATGATGGCCTATTAGGTATTTCCATTGGTTGTTCGTTATTGGAAGTCTGAGATGAATCCGGAATTGTAAGAGATGTTTTATATGATGATGATGATGTTGTTGATGTTGATGACGATGTTGTTGTTGATGATGTCTTAGGATTACCTGTTGGCGGTAATGGTTTATTTGGCAAGGGTGGTTTTGTAGTCTTTGTAGTAGAATTTAGTTTTCTTTGTGAATTTGGTGATGGATAATTTGGATTCTTAACCGTAGTAAAACCGTTATAAGGATGATCAAAAATGGTTTGACGTCGTTTCAAACTACTAGCTCCCCGGGTAGTTGAAGGTTCTTTTTGTGAGTCTGTTGATTTATTTTCAGGTAATTTATGCTGTATATTGGTAGATGATGACGGTGGTGGTAGTGGTAATGGTTTGTTTGGGGCAGGTATGTCAATATGAGATGAAACTTTTGATGGTTTGGCTGGTGAATTAATAGTATGATTTGAGCCGTGAGTTGTTTGATGTTCAGCTCCGACCATTGATTCTTTATAAATACCTCCAGGTTGTTGAAACTGTTATTTGATTGCTTATTATTAGAATATTATAATTGATTTTATTTTAGAATAACAAAACAGTAATACTTACATAATCGATGATATTTCTTACATATGATACTTCATTATTTAAAGAAATAGTCATTCTAATATTTAATATTTAAATAAATTATTTAACCGTTAGAAAAATTTTAAATGTCTCAAAATAAATTAATAAAAATAGTGACAATACCTTTGATGATTAACATGCTCTGCCAAAGATAAATTATTGTCTGAAATAAAAACCCCTTTTCTTTTAGATTTATCATGATTAATTATTCTAGTTCTTGGTGTATGGTTTTGACCATTTCCAGAAAAGCCATTGTTAACAGAGCTACCATCATATTTTTCAAGTCGATTATCTTGATTTTCTTCATCAACAGTACATTCAATGCCTATCTCACCATACAAATGTTTCCAGGCATCGAAACCACCATATAGTAACAAAGGTGATTGTTTCAACTCCTTTGCATATTCAGTTTCATATATTGCATTTATCAAATTGTTTAGAGGGTTGTTTTGGACAGTTATAGATATAGTAACAGAATCTTGATCATATAAGACAATTAAATCAAAATCATCACGCTTTTTGAAAAGGTCCAATTCTTTTTTTGGAGAAATTAATAGTTTAGATTCTATGTCTATGGAAGAAATTCTATTAAATCATAATAGTTAAAAATTAATCAGGTTATTAATTAATTATATGTATTATAACATAGCATAATCTTACCCATCCTTTGTAATGAGAGGATCTAAACAAATAATATTTTTTGCTTTTATATGACCCTGATCAAAATCATTCCTGTGTCTAACATCAAGCAACAAAATTTTTTGAGCATCATCGGGTACTGATAAAAGCTGGTGTAATCTGGAAGCTTGTATGATTTTAGTATCAAAATTGCTTTCATTTTTATTATTATTATTATTGCTACCATTAGTTTCTAATAATTTTCGTACTGGAATCTCGTCAATTATATTAGAAGATGATGTAGATGATGTTATCTCTCCAATATTTTTTTTTTCAGCCAAGCTTTGATTGATATTTTGACTTGAAGTTAATGCATTTGATGAAGTGGAAGGCTCGGTGATTTTGTTTGGTGAAACATCAGTGATCTTATATTTATTCAAATGATCTTGCTTATTATGTATTTTGAGTGCTATTTGTTCAGTATTAGCAATAACACTAGGAAGTTTCTAAACACAATATACATAACAAAATTATCATTGATTTATCCATTTTCAATAAGCTCTTTTTTTAAATGATAGCATAAACAAAGCTACCTACTTTTTTTAACTCATGATAAGTTTTACTAAGTGCTGGATCTTTTTTGCTCTCGATTAATTCCTTATAGTCTTTATGTTTAGGCAATTTTTCAATTATTATTCTAAATTGAATTGAAATCGATTAATAAACTTTTGAATATAAAAAAAAACTAAAAAAATTTGGGATAAAAATTATCATTATTGTTATACATTTTTTATCCTACATTTAAGAAATGGTTAGAATTCTTCGAAACTTACGAGCCTATTTTCAATCCGTTTTTGTATGCATTTTCGTAGTTGTCTGATTCCAAGGCTGAATCAAACTATTGGAAATTACAATTACAAGTAAATAAACATACATTTAATTATGTAACCAATTGAACAAAAAAAAAAAAAACTCATTTAAAAGAAAATGTACATGCCTCAACAAGTAACTTTTCTGTTGTTTTTATCCAAAATTTCAAATTGTATTCATTGGGTTCTGTTAGCACTCTTGATTGTTCTATTAATTCAGAAATTTTTGAGTCTGCGATAGTTGACATGAATGTGATAATATTTTGATATCAATGTATTGAAATATTGAAAATAAGGAGACATTGTAAAAAATTATATGAAAATTTTAAAAAATTATGCAAACCCATTATTCTGCATTTACTATCCAAAATCGGATTGGCCAATTTCCATAACTCTCATTGATTGGTTGAATATATTAAAAAATAAACAATTATCACATTTTACGCATTTTCAGAAATTGCTTCGACATTAGCACCAGGTGACGTTCTCCAACTTAAGGAACAACTTTACCATAATCATCACTTTAGATTTATCTATTAACAATAATCGTACCACTAAAAAATTGATTACTAACCCAAACTTGCGGGATTTATTGATATTAATATAGAATTAAAAATGAAAAAAAACAAAATTTAGTGTTTGGCAATATTTTTATTCTGATGATATCAAAAAAATAGCCGTACAGAATGAGTATGTCAAGCTTGTGCTTGGAAACGAAAAGTAGAAAAAGTACAGACCACCTAGCACTAAAACAGATGCTGAAGTAAAATCGACTTTTATAGAAGAAACAGAAAATCAGAGAAACAATTTAATCGTAACCCAAAAGATTAAAAGTTAAAGCCAAACAAAGTTGACAGATATGTTTGAAAGTTCTAAGATTGATAATTTTTAGGTCTTTGTGTGTCATTTCAACTAGTATTGTCTAGGTTATAAGATACTAATAGAATTACTTTTTTAAGTTCTTGGGCTAACCAAGAATTAACAAATGTTACTAGTACAATTCTTGAAGGCATAAGTTTTTCTGATAATGTTATCTTAGGTTGGAAATTATTTGTTTTAATTGAATTGCTAATAAAATAAAATTTAAAAATTTTTAAATTTCAGGATTAGCAGATTCGTCTGGAAGATCCATGTATGCATCTGTTTTGACTTTACCACCTAAAAAAGGATACAATTATTTGTCAAAATGCTGATAATATTTCTCAAAAAATATTCAAGTCTTAAAATTTCTCCAATATGTCATGTACCCATGTTGAGAGAGAGACTCATACTCTAGCCTGGAAGTGATCGATACTGCACAAAGTGGAAATTTGAAATCTTTATATTTCTATGCCAATGTATAATCTGCTTATTACACATGTCAACTATCTAAAACAAAATCATTATAATTATAGGCGAAACGAAAATTCGATTTGGCAAAAGTTTCGGCAATTTTATTATTATATGGTGCAAGTCACCTAGTCCCGCAACTTGCTGCGCCTCGTGGCCAATTTTGGGAAAAATCATCAAAACTCAGA